ATCTACATTCTCTCATTTTCCTCCTATGCAAATTATTCTTAGTACCTTGTTTCCTAGGTTATCCTTGCATTTCATCATATTTGCATGTTCATGGAACTCAGTTCAGTTAGATATCAATTTCTAGTACTTGGTGGTAGGGATTGAAGCGCATTCCCTCCATACTCATCTTGTTTAGAATTCATTCAAAGATGAATGACCCCAAGTGGGAGATATTGTAACACCTCTACAATCAAAACTAATATTGAGCAAGAGAGAAGATAAAACTATGGAGGAGGTCCACGTGTTGTAAAGAGGGCCATAAACTATCACCCTGCTTGTGGTTATGCACCCAACAAAAGGTTAAAACCACGGACCAGTAAACAGACCATAGATTTCAAACGAGTTGTGAAGTTGGCCATGAGAGTTATGCACAACCAACATGGCTACTGTAAAGTACCACATACCACTAGAAGGTATGTGGATATTCACACGAGCCTTGAAGTGGATTGTGAAGGAGGCTTGATAAAATTTTAGGTTTGAGTCAACTTTAGATGATCATATCATTCAGTTCAAAATGAATTGGGAAGCCCAGAACCTATCAAAATAATGGTCTATGAGTCTACCTTTCAATGCCACAAAGTTTGCCTAATTTCAAGCCTAAAGTAAGAAGTTATGGTAGTTTTAGTGAAGACCTATTGAGAAGAGAATCTTCACTCCCCACTTGATGGACCATGGTGCTTATTATGGCTCGTAAAGCCGGTCTTAAAGTCAATTCATCAACTTTTAAGTGAGTTTTTTTACCACAGACGTTTAAATGGTATGTGGAGCTCCACATGGATTGTGATGTCATTCGTGAAGGAGACTTGTAAGACTTAGAGTATAGGGTCAACTTTAGACAGTCATATCTATTTCAATACTAAATGAATTAAGTGGCATATGCCCTATCAATTCAAAGATAAGTGAGTCAACTTTCCAATGCAACTGAGTTTTATATCATCCAAGATTAGGGTAAAATGTTATTCCCATTTTAGTGAAACATTGTCCGGCAAGTCATATTCACGAGCTCCTTAATGGGCCTTGGTCATCATGACGCACCGTGAAGCCTATCTTGAATCCACATCGGTTGAATTTAAGTGAGGGTCACATTAGTATTTTTCCCTATGTGTTGGGCACTTAAACCACGCCGTTTAATCTTAAACTACTTCGTTTCACACAGACTAAGCTTAGTAAACTAGACAAAAACTACCTAAAACCCTCAATATCCTAAAACCACCTAACGTAGAGTGAAGAGAAGTGAAAGAGGATATCACGTCTTTCGAGAACAAGCACAAGCGTTCTTTGAAGTTCAACCCCTAAATCCAATGGATTTATCCGTAGATTCGTCACCATTTATGTATGGTTTCACCAACGAATCCCTTTCATCAACCAGGTCCCTATAATTCAGTCAGTTCCTTGATTCTTCATGTCTTGTTTAGGCTTGGGGTTTCTAAAACCATGTATATTTGTTGTGATTTAGCTTTTGTAGTATCATTAATCAAAATTACATGTTTATCTAAAAGTTTGCTTATTTCCTTGAATAAAATTTTTAAACCATAGTTTGTATAAATTCTCTTAATTAATGAATTATACTTATTAGGTTAGTTAACCCTACAAACATGCTCCAGATTTTTAATATTACATTATTAGTTTATTAAAGTTCCCTTCTCAGATTTCATGTTAGTATTTGAGCTATTATGTGTTTCAATTGCATTTGTGTCATGAACATATTCAGTGTGGAGTATACTTAGCACTGAGTTGGACTAGGGTTCAGTGTACCTTAATAGTCCCAAAATTGTGTTGCCTCATAGGATTTTAAGTCCCTTCTGTAGGGAATCGAATTTAGTGATCACGACTATCATGCATTTATACCTTTTGGAAGGTATATAGAGTCATCTCGACGGGGCGTATAAATCAGACTCCATGTTTAGCTCACATGATTTATGTAGGTTAATAGTAGCTCCTACAGTCAGACTCTTAGTGCATTTGACCAGGTTTTCAGTATATATTTCACGCTTTTGTTCAACATGTTATTTTCATGATTTGTACTTGATCATTGCATTTAGTTAGATATTCTGTTATGTCCAATATTTACCATCTTTTTCAGTTATTTTGTTCAGCTTATGCATATTTGTTCAGCTAAGTATCTACATCTTGCATACTCGACACATTACAATTAATAACACATACTCTGTGCTACATCCTTGATGTAGGTTTAGGTACTCAGTATCTAGATTACACTTAGATCGATTCTCGGTTCACATTCAGCAGCTTCTGTGATGAGTACTCATATTTCAAGGATTACACTTAGATCGATTCTTGGTTCACATTCAGCAGCTTCTGTGATGAGTACTCATATTTCAAGGATAATAGACATGCTTCTCATTTTAGTCTTTACATTCAGTTTTAAGTTTTGTTAGAGTTAGTTGGGGACATATCTTAGTAGCTCAACTTAGTTAGAGGCGATTTCCAGCTTAGGTCGAAAAAAGCTTGGTCGCTATTCAATTCTGACCTGTGGATGTTGGTATTTACTAACCTCTCTGATCAGTTTTAATTTAAGTTGGTAAAGTTGTTATTTTATTTTCTGACTTCTTGAGGGCAATTTTATATTTTATTTTTATTTGTTATTATTCACGTCTTCCTGAGGTTAGAATATTTGTTTATCATATATTGGAATACCAACATCTGGATGTCGGTATGTTTTAATTTTATTTTTTCTTAATTTTTAAATTCCAACCGCCGGGGGTCGATATTTTTATTTCTTATTTTTGAGATTGTGACCTTTGTAAGTCGGTATTTATATGTTTTATATTTGAGATTCTGACCTCAAGATGTCAGTATTTTTAATTTTCATTTTTGAGATTTTGACCTGCGGAGGTCGATTTTGTGCATCAAAACTGGTAGCATTTAGCTACAATATTAGTATCTCACCTGCACATATATATTTATATCAAATAAAACCAAAGAATTTCAAAACTGCTATTTCAAAAAAAACTTCATCCAACAAAAATAATACAATATTTTAACATATACATTAAACTATTTTCAAATAAACTTCATTCAACTTCAAAATAAACTAAAATACGATCAAATAATTCTAAAAATATAGAACTCTAAAATGTCAAACAGATACTACTCTTCATCAGCCTCCTCAGACTTATCATTCTTATCACCCTTCCTCTCCTTACCGGGCTTATAATTATCATCACCCTCCTGATTAGAACCATCATTTCTGGCTGAACATGGAGGAAGAATTTTTCCAAATTCAACAAGAAAATTTAGTTTGGACTAAAGCATTTCATACCTCTTATCTACAATAATGATTAAAACTAGCAAGGGTTTATTACACTTTATTCGAACTTATTTTGAACAACTAAACAACATTAAGTCTAATTAGTTTTGAATTAATTCCATCAATAAAATCCACCAACTAAACCACATTAGTTATTTAAAATTATTGAACAACTAAACAAATTCAACTATAACTAGTTTTGACTCAATTTCAACAACTAAACCACATTATTTATTTGAACTTATTTTAACAACTTTAACTCTAATTATTTTTTACTTAATTCCAACAACTAAATGCTCCAACTAAACCATACTATTCATTTAAACTTATTTAAACAATTTTAACTCTAACTAGTTTTGAATTAATTTAATAATTATATTCACCAACTAAGCGACATTATTTAATTGAACTTATTTAAACAACTAAACAACTTTAACATTAACTCGTTTCACTTTATTTCAAAACTAAATTTTTTTTAGCTCTAACTAAATTTGACTTAATTCCAACAACTATTGTTTTAAAAAATCAGGCCATAGGCCCTTTTATTTCAACATAACAAAGATTTGTACAAGACCGGGCCTAAAAGTGGCATGGCCCAAAAACACAAAATCGGAAATAAGTCAAAGACCACTATTAGAATCTGATAATTCTACAAACAGAGAATATTAACGTTTTGATGATAGACAGTTTTGATGATAGACAAGAAATGCAAATATATGTGTTAAAAAGGTTTGCCAGATTCATCGCCAAATTTGTCGCAAGTTTGTCAGATTCATCGTCAAATCTGTCACAACAAGAAGTCACCTAAAGCGTGTACAAGAGCTAAATAATAATGAAAGTACAATTTGAGAAAAATAAGGAAACCTTAATATATTAAGTAAGGAAGATTGTATAGAAAAAGGATTGTACAATAAAAGGAAAAATCAGTACTCCTTGTTCAACTATGATTACAATTTCCTTACCTTAATTAATAAGGATTCAAGACAGAAGAAAATTCTATAACAAGAGGACTAACGCAGATGAGAAGATCACGACTTCACATAGAGAGAAAAGTGAGAATTATTCATTGAGTAGAAGTCTTCAAGATCGATAGGTTTTCTAAGTTCAAGAAGTTCTTGAGTTAGAATGTCTTGAACGTGTAAAACTATTTTCTTGTTTCGTTCTTGAGAGTTACTTACGATTCTTTGTACAAGAAGTGGGTTTGGCTTCTTGTAGAGTTGAGTTTTGGTGAGGTTTGTAACAAAAGGTGGGTTTAACCTTTTGGAGAGTAGAAGTAGTCGATTATAGTTAATCGAGAGTTATAGTAGTGGTGAGGTTTTTTATTATTGAGTTGTAATCACAAAATCTTCTAGTTGAATTAATAAAACGGGGTTTTTCCTTCCTTGATTGAGGAAGGTTTTTAATTTAACAAGTGTTTGTGTTTTGACTTAAAAGCAACTTACAAGAACCTGGTTCTTATTCTAGGGGATAGGTTTCTTCAATTGGTATCAGAGCAGGTCTTTTCGATAAAAGATTCACACCTTGAAAAGACTCAATGGCAGCACGACCTACCCCACAAGAGGGAGCTTCACAAACACGACCAACACTATTTAATGGCAAATACTATGGATTGTGGAAAAATCGTATGATGGATCATCTTATTGGCAAAAACCCTGACTTATGGTAAGTAATTCTAGATGGACCAACTATACCTATGAAAACTGCAACTAATGGAATCATCAAAATTCCAAAGGAAAGAAAAGAATGGAATGCTGAAGACAAGATCGGAATCCAAAACAATGCCAAAGCCAAGAAAATTCTGATCTGTGGTATAGGACCAGATGAATACAATCGAATCTCGTCTTGTCAATATGCCAAAGCCATATGGGAAACACTACAAACCGCGCATGAAGGAACAACGCAAGTCAAGAAGTCCAAAATTGATAACTTGAATAGACAATATGAACTGTTCAGGATGGCAGAAGGGGAGACCATACAAGACATGTATATCAGGTTCACTTCAATCATCAATGAGATGTACTCCTTGGGAGAGATAGTTCCTGATGGAAAGGCAGTAAGGAAACTCTTGAGTGTCCTTCTTGAAACTTGGGAAAGCAAAGTCGAGGCTATCACTGAAGCCCGCGACCTAGATTCACTTTGCCATGGATGAGTTAATTTGTAATCTCATCACATACGAACTCAAGAAAAACCAAGAAAAGGAAATTGGAGGAAAAAGGAAAGAAAGGAACCAGGTTCTAAAGGCTACTGCATCAGATGATTTTGAGGATGAAAATATTGCCCTTATAACATAAAGGTTCACCAGAATGCTAAAGAGAGGACAGGCTTTTCAAAGGAAAACTCCTCAAAAATCAACTGAAAACACTAAAGACCACATTTTTCATAAGTGTGGAAGCCCGGATCACTTCATCAAATTCTGTCCACTTTGGGCATTAGAACAAAAAAAGACAAACTCTGAGAAGGGCAAAGACATCAAGAAAGATAATTTTGTTCCCTCAACCAGAAAAATGACAACTCAAGAGGCAGATATCTCAATGAAAAGGGCCTTTCCAGCAATGGTAAATTCATCTCATGAAGAATCTGAGGATGATGAGACAGAAAACAAATCCCTTCTTGCACTAGAACAAGAAGATGATTATGACTTTCTTGCTCTTGTGGTAGTGGAAACCAAGGAAGAAAAGGAAATCTGCAGATCACAATAAACCACATTAGCACTCATGGCTGGATCAGATTCTGAAGAGGACAAAGAAGAAGAAGATATGAATGAAAAGGGATCAGTGAGAAGGAAGCAACAACAATGGTACTTGGATAGTGCATGTTCAAGACACATTACTAGAGATAAAAGAAACTTTCTCTCACTCAAAAAATCAAAGGAGGAAACGTCAACTTTGGTAATGGAAAAAGTGGGGAAATTGACGGAATTGGAAAGGTTGGGTCCATGGATACTCATGCAATTGAGAACGTACAATATGTGAATGTCCTACAACATAATCTATTGAGCGTATCTCAAATATGTGATAAAGTAAAAAATGTTCTCTTTACAGAAAAAGAACGCAGAGTAACAAACTTAGTGACTGGGAACCTGGTTCTACTAAGTAAGAGACACAAGAATGTGTACAAAGCCAAGATTGTTGACTCTAAGGAAGATACTCTTAAATGTCTAAGTGCAATCTCTGATTGCTCCATGCTCTTGCACAAAAGAATGGGACACATTAGCATGACAACAATAAATAAACTCATATCTAAAGACCTGGTTAGGGGACTACCAACCAAAAGTTTCAGGGACAACCAAGTATATGGAACCTGCATTCAAGGAAAACAGGTTAGATCATCCTTTAAATCAAAGTTGACAGTGAGTACTACCAAGCCACTAGAACTACTCCACATGGATTTGTGTGGACCAATGTGTATACAAAGCAGAGGTGGGAAAAGATATGTGTTTGTAATAGTTGATGACTATTCAAGATTCACTTGGACATTGTTTCTTGCAACAAATGATGAAACATTCACTATGTTAGAAATCTTTGCAAAGCTGGTCGAGAAAAAATTCAACAATGAAATAATTAGCATCAGATCTGATCATGGGCTAGAATTTGAGAACTCACAATTCCTACAATTTTGCACTACAAATAGGATTGAGCATAACTTTTCAGCACCTAGAACACCAGAACAAAATGGTGTAGTTGAGACGAAAAAAAGAACACTGGAAGATATTGCAAGAACAACGTTAATCTCAAGCAAAATTCCAAAATTCTATTGGGCTGAAGCAGTTAACACTGGATGTTATCTAATAAACAGATGTATGATCAGATCAGTCTTACACAAAACACCATATGAGCTGCTAAAAGTAAGAAAACCAAATTTACCACATCTTAGGGCTTTTTGGTGTGTATGTTTTATACACAACAATGACAAGGACAATTTGGGAAAATTTGATGTCAAGAGTGATGAAGGAATTTTTCTGGGCTATTTGTCACAAAGCAAAGCCTACAAGGTACTGAATAAAAGAACAAACCATGTAGAAGAAAGTGTTCATGTCGTCTTTAATGAAAATAATAGTGAAGTTGAAGGAAATTCAGAGGTGAACAGAATGAGAGAACCGGCTCCAAGCCATCAGAACCACAAATACGGAAAGAAGAATCCATACTCTCTCATTAAACATCTGAAATAGGAGATAAGTCTACTAATGAAACTAGTTCTTCTACATCTCAAGATCCAGTAAACATCCAAACTCACAGCTAAAAACATCAGAGCTCTCATCCTTTACAAAACATTCTTAATCCACTTAACTCATGCATCTCTACAAGATCCAAATTACATAGCATGTGTGCCTTCTCTGCCTAAGTATCCCTGATTGAGCCAAAAAATATAAAGGAAGCACTACTAGACTTTGATTGGATTAGTTCTATGAAGAACTTAATCAGTTTGAAAGAAGTAGAGTATGGAACCTGGTTCCAAAAACCTCAAAACAGGACGGTAATAAGAACAAGGTGGGTGTTTAGAAATAAGCTCGATGACCAAGGTCAAATAGTACGCAACAAAGCTAGGCTAGTTGTACAGGGATATAACCAAGAAGAAGGGATAGACTATGATGATACCTTTGCACCTGTATCAAGAATTGAGGCAATCAGAATATTGATTGCATGTGCTGCTCACATTGAATTCAAACTCTATCAAATGGATGTCAAAAGTGCCTTCTTAAACGGTTATCTGCTAGAAGAGGTGTATGTGAAACAACCCCCAGGTTTTGAGAATACCAAGTATCCTGATCATGTATACAAACTAGACAAAGCACTCTATGGGCTAAAACAAGCACCTAGAGCATGGTATGATCGATTGTCCACCTTTCTTATAACACATGGATACACAAGAGAAAAAATTGATAATACACTGTTTCTTCGAAAACAAGGTGAAGAACTGTTCATAGTCCAAGTATATGTAGAAGATATCATATTTGGAGGAAATAATGATTAACTTGGAGTAGAATTTGCTCAACTAATGAATAGTGAATTTGAGATGAGTATGATGGGAGAGCTAAACTTCTTTGTAGGACTCCAAATTAAACAAACTCCAGTTGGAACATCAATTCATCAACAAAAGTACATCAAGGAATTACTAAAGAAGTATGAAATGAATGAAGCTAAGTCAAATGACACACCCATTGGGAAAACAACAAGGATTGATAAAGATGAACCAGGTTCACCAGTAAATGACACTATATATAGAGTTATGATTGGATCACTCCTATACCTTACTTCCAATAGACCTCATATAGTGTTCAGTGTTGGTATATGTGCACGGTTTCAGTCCTGTCCTAAGGAATCACATCTAAAAGTTGTCAAAAGAATCTTGAGATATTTAAAAGGCACAATGAACCTGGTTCTCTAGTATCCAACTGGTGACTCTTTTGACCTAAAAGGATTTGCTGACGCAGATTATACAGGACATATAGTAGATAGAAAAAGTACCTCTGGGATGGCACACTTTTTAGGACCATGTCTAATATCTTGGGCAACTAGAAAACAAAATTCGGTTGATTTATCTACTGCAGAGGCTGAGTATGTAGCAGGTGCTTCATGTTGTGCCCAACTTCTTTGGATAAAACAGCAGCTTAAAGATTTTGGCATAAAAACAGGTTGTATTCCTATTCTATGTGATAATACAAGTGCTATGAACATGGCTAAAAACCTAGTTCAACAAAAACGCACAAAACTCATAGATGTTAGACATCACTTCCTTCGTTATAATGTTGAAAAAGGAAAAGTAGTAATGAAGTTCTACAAAACTGAGGATTAAGTTGCTGATATTTTCACCAAGGCACTAGGAAGAGAATCATTTCAGAAAAATAGACTTGAGTTAGGGCTCATCTTTTTAGATTGATTTTGTCCAACCAAGTTCTAAGGATATAAGAACCAGGTCCAGTCTAGTTGGTTCTACAATTACACTAAGCAAGGAAAATTAGCAGTCAAAAATAAAAAAATAAAAATAAAAAAAGGGGAAAACAATTTCTTCTTCTCTCTCCTATGTCACGTCTCTGAAAAGCAGGTGCAACCGTCAAACCACACGTCTCTTCGATGTCAATCCCCCATAATAACTAAAACTCCTCGAATATGACATCAAAACCGTTTCCAATAGAGCACTTTCTCCAAACAATCAACCAACTCTTTCTTCTTCTCCATTTTTCAGAAAAATCCTCTCCATCACCATGGTTAATTCACTCATTGCTTAATCAGATGACGAAAATTCATCTGACAGTGCATCTTCTCAGGGGGAAGAGAACCCCGTCATTGATACTATACTTACTCAAGGGGAAGAAAACTAACTAACAACCAAACCATCTACATCCTCACCCAAATCAGATCCGTCTAAATCTCCACCACCAACAGTTACAGAAACATCTCCACCATCACCAGTTAAAGAAACATCTCCACCACCAGTTGTAGAGTCACCACCACCACCTGTCATAGAATCACCATCACCACCAGTCAAAGAAACCCCATTACGACCATACCCAGAAACACCCATAACCACTATCCCAGAAAACCCCTCTTCTTCCCCAACTCACAAAACCACTCCTCAAAATCCACCACCATCGCCACATTCTCTAAACAATGATGACATCCTTCTGAGCACACTTCACCCTAAAAAACCAAGACAGCCAAGAAAACACATTGCAGTCAAACAGGTTCGTCCACACAAGCCAGTAACTCGGAGTGCAAATGTAGTCAGACCAACTGATGGTGCAACATCCAGTGTGAAGCGTCGTCGTCTGGGTAAGTCTCCTATTCACTCATCTGTTTCTCCAATGATTCTTGATTCTGAAACTGATTATGTCTCTAAGGGTAAACATTCTGAAACCCCTCAGTCAAAGTCAAAATCTGCAAAAAGAAATGTGGATAAATTTCTCAAAGTTGGAAAGAAAAAATATTTTCAATCCAAAACAGTGCTTAGGGGTAGAACTTTTCATCTTGATATTCTATGAATGGACATAGTCAAGCAGGTTTGTGAGATACTAAGGTTTCAGGGGTGGGAGGAGTTATTTCTTGAACCTAATCTGATTTATGAACAAGAAGTGGTAGATGTTTATACAAATTTGATAATCTTGGAAGGAGATGTGGTATATTCTAATGTGAAGAGAGTTGAAATTATTTT